TGGGCCATTAAGAAAGGGATGATATTCAGGACAGAGGGTGAATAGATAGCAGAGCTATGCAGGTGTCATTGTCGCCCACGAGCGCTGAACAACAATGAGACTTAATCAATGCCTATCAGCATGGCAGGATTGAGTCTCGCTCGCTTGCAATGATGAAACCACGCCATTACAAAGGGCTTGAACTGCCCGCTTTTGATCCCAGAGTATCAATGCCTGCTCATCGCAGAGCTGTAGAAGTATGTCGCTGTCGCTTGCTAGCCACTCATTTGACTCTTGAAGCTGTCGCTGCTCTTCCTCGAGTCGTATCTTCTCGGCGGATTTGACGACGTACCATTCCCACAGGCAGAAGTAGAGGTCGAGCAGTTTGAGGGTTGGTGTAGCCAGGGCATCGTTGTAGTTTATAAGTTTCATGAACTCCGCCGCAAGGGAACCGGGTTTGCGCACTGAAACCTATGCCGTATTAGTGATCTCGTTCGTTTGCAATCGAAGAGGGCCTGACTAACCTCAGCTTCGATGGTTGCACCATCCGAAGATTGCTGTTGGTGGCTTTGCGCCTCGCTCTCATATTCTGCATCGTGGGAGATCCGACGCTGTCTCTTGGCCGGTCGGTCACACGAGGAAAGCGAAGTGGGAGGGTCCATCGCAGCCTTTGGAATGAAATACAAAGTGCATTGTACTCGAGGGCCTTTTATAGCCCAGCAGTCACCCTAAGGCTGCTGTCATTGCCACCCATGACCGTCTCGGCCTGAATTCGACCACCCTGAAAAGTGACTGAACGGTTAGATCAACGTTTACCTCAACTGTTCACGCTCGAACTAACCTAACGCTTACCTCGACTTACTCAATTTAATGTGAAAATGGACGCAAGATTTGATCTAGAAAAAAAGAGTTGCAGGGGCACTTGATTATAGCCTGCAAGTCCAGTTTTGATGATTGGATGGTGTAAACAGGTAGGCTTCGGTGGAGCTGAACGTGGCATTACTGTGAATAATTTGTTCAGCGGGAGATACACATATTGTTTCTGACACTTTTTGGCAAGTGATGCCAAGAGAAACATTCTGGTATTGCATCATGACAGGTCTATATGTCGCTAACTGTACAGACCACCAAAATTTATCCTCGGAGACCGCCTCAACAATGTTTGATGAGAGTTGTCGGCTTCCATTCTGTTCTGAATAGCCCTCTTGAGGCAGCTATCTCCTGCTAGCTCAAGTGATCTCTTCAAACTGAATCTTTGGAGTCTGATGTTTGCCAAAAGAGCATTAACAATCGAGATCTGACCACCCTTGACTGCCAACATCAACGGATCCTCGAAATATTCATTCCGGAGGTTGACATCAATTTGGTGATGGGATAATAGTGCCTGGACCATCTCCAAGTCACCACCACGGGCCGCAATGCAGAGTGCAGTGTCGTGAGATACGGTCGTGCTTTCATTGATGTTCAGACGTGTGCCTTCTTGCACTAATAGCCGGACCACATCGTGATGACCGTGTGCAGCCGCTTGGCAGATTGGCGGATCTATGAAGCCCCTCCCATTGATCTCCACGCTCGCCATATTCAGTAGACAAGCAACTGCGCTCACGCATCCGCGGGATGCGGCAATAGAGATTGGAGAGTGACCTGCAACGCAAACATTCGGATCGATCTCTGGCACCGCTAGCAGCCGCCGTAGAAGCACGGTATCCAATCTGGTCGCGGCGTGGTATAGAGATGTAGACGGCATTTCGAATCTCCCACGGCCCCCAATAAGGTTCACGTCGATGTCTTTCTCCGCCAACAGCCTTTCGGTTACCTCATAGTAAGACCAGTAAGTAGAAAGCCAAAGGGGCGTATTTCCATCCCTGTCGGTGCAGTTCACATTGACACGCGGGTGACTCAGAAGCAAATCGACCACTTCAGGGCGATTACTTTCGATGGCCAGATGGAGTGGCGTGTAGCCTTTCCGATCCTGGCTGTCTAGTGCCGGATTTCTTCTTTTAAGAAGCCGCCGGACAGCCGCTAGAGAACCATGAGCGACTGCGTGATGCAGCGGTAGCGGAGCGTCCCGTGATGATTGAGTTCCAAGAAACAAGTTGGAGTCTGGATCGTTGGAGAGAATCATTTTCATCACGGGTCTATTGAAGTGACGTGCCCAGGCCCAGGGTGAGTCACCTGAATCATCCTGTTGATCAGGGTTGCTACCTCTTGACAGCAGAAGATGTACGAACTCTATCCTGCCAGCGAAGACCGCGAGGTGGAGCGCCGTTCGGCCGTGTTTGTGTTTGATGTCCACTCTGACTTTGGGTTGTTCTAGAAATATCTTGACCATGGAGTAATTTCCATAGTGAATGGCATACCACAGCGCGGTCTCGCGCGCTTGGTTCTGGATGTTGATTTCTAGCTCTTGACGATTGAGCAGCAGCTCACGCATTGCGGCGGAAGCGTATTGAAACGACCTCATTAAAGGTGTTTTCCCTCGGAAAAAGGCATTGATGTTGGCATTGTGCTGGAGCAAAGCCGCCGCAAGATCAACATTGTCGTCTTTCACGGCCAGGTGCAATAGATTGCTGTTCTGGAATTTGATGTTATATCTCCAGATGCTGGGCTGGAGTCTAAAATCAAGGTCTTTGCACGATTTTGCAAGGGCGAACATCGCAATACCATCCAAATGCGACACAATCCACAGCAAAAGCTCGTTGGGCAAGTCTCTGATGGTAGACTGTTACGTATTAGCTCATCGGTAAGCATGGTAAGGATGAGCTGGAACATACCATGATTGGACAGTGGATTGGAGCTAGGAAGAAATGAAGTGTGGTCGAGGATGAGGCAAGAGTGGTGAAGGTTAGACGTGACGAGGCCTTTATATACGCGCCTCAACTAAATTCCGTGGCCAGCGAGGGGTGTAGCCCGTCACTCCGCTGAGATGCATAGCAATCACACGGCAGCATCCACGCCTTGACAACACTGTTTGGACGGAGTTGGAGAATCTCTGGTTTCCAACTCCTGGGAACACCAAAGTTGTTCCCAGTGGCGTGTCAAGGGCCCCGGGAGACCGAATCTGTCTTAGTAACACTTAACGCATCTATCGCCATAAGCGTTCAGGCGAATCACAGCCTGCAAGGCGCTCCGTGCAAAAACTCGGTCAAACTTGAAGACACCAATATAGGCCGTCAAAAGCTGAACACTCCCTCACGGGAGAGCCGTTCGAACTATGAAAATTGCAATCCAAGCTCTGCGCTATTGCCAAAGATTTCCCCTGCGCAAGATGGCACCGACAACGGCAGGCCGACCAACTTGGTCTGCAGTGGTATGAAATAGTAGTCCGCAACCAGATGCGAGTGCCTCATGACTCTAGAGTTGCCACTCCACCCATTGTGCATTCGCGCCGGCGTCAGACGTCGTCAGGCTCCAGGAGACGCCCGGCGGAATCAGACAATACTGACCGGTCACTCTCTCACGGGCTCAGACAAGACCCGACGGTGCCCCTGTGGACTAGCCCTGCGCCAGTGCAATCAATCAATCCCTTTGTGACTGTCGAAATGCTGCGGACCAACAGCGTATCGTGGCACGTTTCGCCGGCTCGACCAGCTATTCTGACCTCGGTCATTAATATCTGGGCCGGGGTCCAGGACTTGTCGCTGCAGAATCTCAGCTTGAGTGAAGATGTCGACGAGATTCACTGTGTGTTTTGTTTGGCCGAGGACGAGGAACAAGCAAACGAGTGCGTGATCCTGCGTTGCGATCGGTGCCAAGCGCATTGCCATCTATCCTGCGCGGAAGAGTGGTTGGAAAAGCGACGGGCGGGCTTTGGCACGTCATGCTGTGTGTGGTTAGTATGAATCTCTCAGTTCTGCAATGTCGAAATGCTGATAAATGCAGTCGAAACGAAGGAAGTCTGGATGCCTTGATTCGTCCACTCCGAGTCCCCTCGGCAAGCGAACCATCAACCGATAGAGAGCCTATCACCGTCGGATATTCAGCACCAAACGAACCTCGCCAGAGTCAGCTGCCTCAGCGATCAGTGGGATTCCCACGGGTGTCAGCCGAGCAGAGTGGGCTGCGTCGCTCAGCCAGAGTGGCGGGGGCTCATCTAACGCGAGACCCATCTACATCTGCACCGCTTCGCCGGTCGGCACGACTGCATCCCACTCAGCGTAGGTGATTACAGTTTACAGCAAACGCGAGACGGAAATGGGAAATCTGTCGATCACACGTGACTACACGTGACCAGACGCTGGCATTCGGACCAGCAACAGAGAGATATGGAGTTTTTAATTAATGATATTTATTGTGTTTGCACCTTCATCCTACGGCGAAGATAGGTAGATGTTCAGCATGACTCCGGGTATTTGCCGCTTGCTCATATGTCTCTTTGATATTGTTGCCAAAGTCTTCCCAGTGAGCATTCTGACACACAGAAACTACAGTCTCACCTTTAAATCGATAGGCAGGAGCATTAGTTTCAAAGAGCGTCGACATTCTTCTTTTACCGACAGGGGCGCGGGCCACTTTGGCGCCGCGCGACCGGGATGAAGGGGTGAGTGAAGTGAGGACAATGATAATGCCTAGTATCCTTGAGATTTTTCAATCACCTTTTTCTTATTAATTTTTCCAACTCTTGCGGATTCTTAGATCAGTGGAAATTTTTCGAAAGCCCAATACGAATCGAACTGCAAATAGCTCAGCACCATATATGTCACAACTCAATTGATAGTAACTATTTCTGCTGGACTGGTATCGTGCCCTTTTTCGAACCCCCCTTTCCGGTTCGGAAATTACTTACCCCGAGCCGGAACTAAGATCTGGCAGCTAGTTATCTATCTTAATTTCTACCCCGCTGCTCGCTGGGGCTTTGTCTTATAACAATCACCTGTCATTCCATGATTTGGAAAGCAGCCAACAATCCCCCCAAAAAAGAGGTAAATATTCCAGCTCTGCTTTCGCTACCACGGCTATGATGCTTACAAGCTGTTTTACTACAGCGCGCTATCACTCGTCCAGTCGCACCCCGCTGAGCCATGCCCCCGACCGAAATCAAGACCGATGCGTTGCAGGAATTCAACGAGTTGGCTTCTTGGGTTCATCGAAACGCAAAAATGGAGCCGGAGAAAGGGAAGGAGAACAAACTAGTATGCACGGACAAAGCTCGCGAAGCCAAAGTGCGACCATTATTAGAGAAGCTGGGATATGCCAATATACCGGTAATTCGATATCACAACCTGCAAATGAGCCAATTTCTAAATGGAATTTAGGGTCATCTCGCCTCGCTGCAGCGAATATTTGGAAAAGCCCTGATCGAAAAACCCAATGATGATCGATCGGTGTTATTTTTCCCTCTGTCGATTGGGTCAGGACCTGAAAGTATAGGCTCTGGGAACATGCATGTCGCGGGTGAAACCCTCAAACCCGGAACCTATATTCAACTAACGGAGACTCTGGAGCTGAACGAGCAATTAGACTGTCTGATTGTCCTTCTACCATAGACCTGTGAAGGGACTTATGGGATTCTATGATTTGACATTCATTGTATAAATTATGCATCTTAAAATTTCAAGCGATCCAGCGAGGCATTCAGACCTATAAACATACTTTTGTGTTTCTGCGAGTTCCTTTTTCCTTGTTATAATAAACCTGTTGCAGCTAACAAGTTCTGTGAAGCCAGCACAGAGCGCACTGAGATTCGTACTTTTTTGTTGCAGTCCAAGTCAAATGGATGAGGGTGCAAGTGCAGCCTACTGAGGAAAAAGTCCGAATTATTGAAATTTCACTCTAAGAGTTTTGGTATGTGCTGAACCACGCCTCGCCTGTACCGAAGCCCCCTCCCTGTGGCGTCGACTCTCCGAGCTGCGGATTTGGGTATGTGCTGAACCACACATCGCTTGTCCCAAGGCTGCCTGCCTCGCCGAGGTGTGGATTAAGGTATGTGCTGAACCACGCCTCGCCTGTACCGAAGCTTCCTCCCTGTGGCGCCGACTCTCCGAGCTGCGGATTTGGGTATGTGCTGAACCACACATCGCTTGTCCCAAGGCTGCCTGCCTCGCTGAGGTGTGGATTCGGGTATGTGCTGAACCACGCCTCGCCTCTACCAAAGCTCCCTATCCGTGGCGCTGACCTGCTGGGTTGAGGGTTAAGGTATGTGTTGAGCCATGGGTTGTTCATCTCAAGGTTGTCGCCCACTGTTGTAGGTTCACCGGGTTCGGGATCCACCGGATGGGCTTGGCCATCTATACTGCCTGGCAAGCTAGGCATATTTCTGAATAACCCGTCAAACTCATTTTCCGATTGGGGCACTCCCGGTGTTGGTCGGCCTTGAAATTGATTCGATGTCCTTTGATACTCGCCATCTATAAGGTTTAGTAACTGACAACCCAGCTTTAAGGACATATTACCTTTTGAGGACGGGTTTGAATTTTTATTGTAACGTCTTTTCGAACATCCTGCTTGTTCAGGGCCCTTATGTCGTTTGGTGTTGTAAGGGCCATGGCCGTTGTGTCGACCTACTGGGGTTGAGCCATGCAATCTTCGTCCACGTCGGTTCCTACCGGTGGTGGCTCCGGCCGTTGCGATTGGCCTCGACGCCCTCGTCGTATGTTGATTTTCAACAGCGGAGATATCCGATAGATCGGTGCCTGTGCTCCATGAAAACTCTTCAGGCCGATACGATGGTTGGAAGGCATCATTGAAGAGAGCACGATGTGACTCGACTTTTGTGTATGTATATCCTAAGCATTCACAGATCTCTGATAGCCTAGGGTGGAGCTTTGTCAGCAAAATATCAAAATATAGTATACAAGTGAGTAACACACGAAGTGCTGTCTTTGAAAATTTCTTTTATTATCAAAGGGATTGCAAGTGGCACCGAGGTGTTTGTATTATTTGTCGGGTAAGAGTCGTCGTGTAATTGTGGTTTCAACCCATCCAGTAAACACTTGGGATCGATAGAAAAATCGTTAAATCGGGCATAATAACTAACTTGACGCGCAGCTTGCCAAAGTTAGTTTGTCCAAAGAGAATGGCTCGACACATACCAACAAGAAAAATGTCCCAGCTTCGTAAATCCCACCTGGTTTGAGATAAAAGAGATATGGCTTTATTAACCCATTTTGCACCACGAATTAGCGCCTCGAACCGTTTTGAATAGGCATCGGATCCAAAAACCTCCCGCATGGACTCATACACGTCATCTTTGCTTTCGACAGCTGTCAAAGCGACTGCACATAAAGAGCAAAATACGAGCTCCCGGAAGCACGTCAACTGCCGGTTTGTTGTACTGGAAGACTTCAGAGAGTTACCGTACTCGTGCAGAATAGAAATCGTTGTACACTTGGATGTCTTATTGAGCATCACCTTGGGCTCATCAGATGGAGCAAAGCCCTGTACTAACCCACGAAGAAGCGCTGCACGTTTTGGATCACACACAGAAATCCACTTTTTCCATGTGCTCGACTGGGGTAGATTTCGGACAAAGGATGTGAAACTGGAGAGTATCTGAAGCTGGCCCTTTGCGCCCTGGCCCGGCGTATCTCTTGTTCTTTTCTTCGAATTGAGATTTATATCGTATGATGGACGGAACTCGATGATTTCAAATGTGCTGCCACCTGTGTTGCTGTCATCCTGGCTAGCTCTTCGGCCTGAGAATGCTAGCCTCGTTTCGTCTCCCAACCCTTCTTCTTGGATACTGCTGCTTGATTCACTAATTTGCCTTCTGCTGCCCTCGGCTACACCACACATATGGTTGGCTTGGCTCAAATCCCCTTGGATCCCTGTGAAATGATTGTTTCGACCGCGGTCTTGATGAGGAGATGACCGGAGAAAAATGTTCTCCAAATGGAGAACTCGCGCTTCAAGGAATTGAATGTAATCAGCATCGTTACCCTCGAACTGGATTCGGCGGCCGCACGTCATGTGTTCTGTTTGATATGGAATAGTGAAAGTTGACAAAGAAGCAGATTGAAGAAACTCCCCTACTCCAGGCAGGCATCCCAAGGAGCCCCGGAGGCAAATCGATGATTAAGCCCCGGGACCGAAACCGAGAAAGGTCCGTGCGACGGTTCGCTGCAGTTCAATCACACATGCAGTTGCACCATATTTATCACCTTCTGCATCCCCTCGGCTTCACTAGTCTGTGCGACTTTTTCTACAATACTTTCACCGTCCTCAATGCGAAATGCACCATCGTTTGTTCCTAAAGCTAGGCTAGGGCGTGCTACAGGACAATGAAGGCTTAGATGGCTCAGCCTCAAAAGAAAGCCGGCAAGGTTCCAAACCCTCGTGGTTGCTAGGCTTAGAAGCTCACGAAGCCTTTACTGAGCACTGGATCGGTCCTGAGCGAACCCTGTGTCCGGAGTACATACTCATGGCCAACCCCACAGCGCTAAACCGAACCAGGTACCCGCAGTGCGGGTTTTGAATCTGGCTAAAGATCATCGGTTGATAAGACATGCTATCGGTCCATTCCTTATTGTGGATACATTTGCAACGTCTGTGATAATTTAATTGGATGGTGGGTGATATGCCGGGCCTAGAATACGGGCACACCGAGCGGCGCTTAGTCTGGTTTTGTGATTGGTACGCAAAGTAACCGAAGACAACCCAATCATACGAATCAATTTCAGCCAAACGTTGATTGTTTCAAAATATCTTGCTCCATCGAGTTCAACAAAATACCTGATCCGTTGCATTTTGCTCCTCGGGGACTTCGAAGCAGATCTCTCAACATGTGGCAAAAAGCAACAAACCGGGGATTATCGTGCCAGCGACGATACCAGTCTCCTTTCTTGAGCCGTTTGCGTCAGATAAAGAATATGGAATAGACGGTATTACGCCAGGGTGCTGACTTGACTACAGAATTGCCTCTCGCGACGGAGGGAAATCTAACCGTGATTTCGGCCTCCTTGCTAACGTGCGCGAAGTACAGGTCATGTAAGCCGGCCCGATTGTCGCTACATTGTTTTACTGCATTGTTGTTCTAAGTCTGGTATATCTATCCTTTGATATAAATGATATGGTTTCCTAGGCAAAACGAATTATTGCAAATATCTAATTCTCGGTATATGGGCGCCTGATGCATCTTGCGACCAAGTATGGAGAAACTTCTTTCTGCAACAATTACATATCTCATGGTCTTGAGATTAGAAGTGAGCTTCCCTTTCTACTCCAAAGCAATTACTAACCACGTGGTCAGCCATGGAACATCTTCCACGTCCGACAGCGAGATGTCCGAGATGTCCAAGACGACCAAAATGGCCAAGGTGACCAAATACTGGCAATGGGAGCAAGTGGATGGAAGCTAGAAATCTCCCTCGACGAGATGAAAAGCTCGATATTTGGATGTGCATTTCTTCTCGACCACGGAGGATATTTCTGGCGTATAGTTTGTCACGCAGTGCAACATTTGAGGAATCCAGAGTGGAAGCCTCTATCTGGAACCGACGGCGTGCGAGTTGGAAGCAAAATCCAAAAAGGAATACTCTATCTATGTCCTGTCATTTATGGAAATTCTTCCACCTTGGTTTCATTCTCCATGCTGGAAATGTCGACCCCTGGCCAAATAATGATTTGGCAGGCTGAGAACCCCGTGGCCCAGTACACGCTCCAACTCAAGGCCGCACTACTCCTGAAAATCATTCAAGCGGGTATGATCGGAAATTGGAAATATTTTCGGCGCTTGATCCTCGACTTCGCCATTTTTGGGCAACGAGTCTTGTTGATTGTTATTGTCATGACCTTGGGGCTAGCAAACTCTGTGTGGGAACGAAGATTTGCAAGTTATTTTGACCGTCTCGAGTGATTGGGCGCAGTAGACTTTTTTTTCTGTTGATCTGGAGCTTCGCTTTGGGTATAGTGGTTTCGGGATAATGCCCTCCAATCTCCTGAATTTAGCATTAAGATGTTGCCACTTGAGACCAACAATACCTTCTACCGCCCAAGAGAGGAAAGGGGCATCCAATAGAAGCCTATCTGGTCTACTGTAAGAGATGTATAGTTCTATGCTCTAGGGATTTTATCAACCAGTCATTATGGATCTTGTTCATAATCGAACAGAATATACCACTTCCAGCATTTCATAACTCACCCCACATTCTTGGGCTCAACTTTTGTTGAGCAAGCCTAGAGGTACATGGGACTAGAATACATGTACCTGCATTTTGAGAGTTTTCCCCTGGATGAACAAATCCAGTGCTGTGCGTTGTCGATTTACTCTCATAAGTGATATAAGTATACCGAAATTGTCCACATTCGCATGTCCTTCATCATGCGTGACCAGGAGCTGGAAACACTTTCTCTCGGTGCGTGCATATTGCATTGTTTGATCCTTTATGTTACAATTCTGATTTGCGTAATAACTTGTCGCCACATCCGAGAGTGCTTGTTCTACGTATGTTTACCCCGGGCTTTTCGATACATGGCTTACAATTTTTAGTGAACAGTGACATACAAGTTGCAGTGTCGTTAATCGGCATTTCTCACACCCAGCTTGTCCTACTTACTTCATACGACATCACCGCGGGACGAATATGAACCGAAGCGCTCCGTTTATAATGATAGGACGTGCACTTGAGTGGCTTCAGACTGAACAGGTATGAAGCCTCGATGATTTTACGTCAAGTCTGACAGACCCAGGCACACCTGGGAACAGATTGGAAATTTTATTTTGCTCATAAAATCATGGATACAAAAACATTGTTACAGCAATCGGGCTTTACAGGCGACGGGACTGTTGCGTGTGGAATAAAGGTATCTGAGACAATGCAAATGTTCGACGGGGAGGTAGAGGTGACGAATAGTGTTGTTGTTGTAGTTAGCGCTGTTTGATTCAAGATCAAAGGACGAATTACATCAAGGATTGATCAAATTTTACAAGATAGAATAGCGGAGACTTACAACCGGGGTCAAGAAATTTGCCGCCTCCACCGAGGTGAAGCTAAAGGCCCGGACCCCTATCAACTATAAAGCTCCGGGTTCCCAAACTGGTCTCAAAAGATATTTGTTTCCATTCAACGCGTTGCTTTAGTTTTCTACAGCCGCCGAACCATAAAAATCCCAATCGACCATGCAGGCTCGCGCTCATAGGGCTTGTGAGGCCTGTCGCAGGAGCAGGAGACGCTGCATTGAGGGACCTCCATGTGAGAATTGTCTCGAACGTGGAAAACAGACTTGTGACTTCATGGCCACTGCACCTCGCAGTAAGTCGTTTGGACAGCACGCAAGGCTGGATACCGATGCATGCCGCCTGTGCCTCAGGAACAAAGCACTTTGCACTGGAGGGCCGCCCTGCGAGGAATGCGTCGAAGGAAGTGACATTTGTTCATTTGATACTGAACATCACAGAGAGGACCACCTACATAAAGGTCACAGCTCAGCCTGCATACCGTGCCGCATACGGAAAACTCGTTGCACCGGCAGAGTGCCTCCCTGTGAAGCCTGTACTTCGCGTGGGTCTGAAAGTACTTGCGAGTTTGTCAAGACGACAACAGGTGACCCCGAAACTACGACGACGCACACACCTCAACATCAATCTGATGACTCTGCCGAGCGACGCTGTAATGCTGTTGCGGAACCAGTACCAATTCAACAGCACGAGAGCACCCTCAGCGTAGGGACCGACAACGCGCGGTCACCCTACACTTTGACCGCGCATGACACGAGAAGAGTACGCCGCAGCGAGTCACTCGACTACACCGAACAACTTTCCACAACCAGGAGTGTGACCTCTCTGTCTGATTTGAGCAGAACTCCAAGCCTGGATGCTAGCGATTCAGATGGGAGTTCTCACGCATCTTCTCAGACAAGCTGCTCTTCATATGACGAACTACTCCACGTCCTTCCAAACCGCCAAATGATCGATTCTTTGATAGTAAAATACTTTTCATCAATTTCCACGGTAAATCTGGCCTACCAAGAATGTTGCGATTTGCTTATTCACAAAACATTAGTTATTTTGTGTCGTCAACGCTGCCCAGTTCGAGACCGAGTACGAGGCTTTCTGCTGCAACACTCAAGTTGGGACGCCATCTTGGCTATCCTTGCTTTTTGCAATCCTAGCACTAGGCTGTCGGGCCGAAGAAGATTCCAAAATACTCTATCTCTCCGACGACCTGTCGATTTTCTACGAGAAAGTTGCCTGGCACTGTTTGTTGGCCAGTCACTCACCGTCTGAGCCATCACTGAGTGCGTTGAAAGCAATCTTACTTATTATCTATGGCCGCGCACACCGCGGGCAGGATGTATTCAGTGATCTACAACTGGCTTATCGCATGGCGGCATCTACCAAAGGTCATATCACCGGACAAAATGTGGTTGAGCCCATGGTCAGCGAGGAATATCGATGTCTATTGACTGGCATGAAAACGCTGTCCCTTCTCAATGCCCAAGTACACGACTACTACCGCAATCAGGATCTCATACAAGATTTATTCCCTCCGGCTGCTATTTACGAGTCCACTGTAAGAGCCAATCTATCACTGGGCGTCGAAGAATCACCTCCGCAGATGACTTTTACAATCTTGAATTTGCAACTTTCGGAAATATCTCACACAATCTCTGTGAGCACAGAGATTGGTATGCAGTCCGAGTGGAGCCTCAAATGTATTGAGGCTGAGCTATTTCGCATGGAGAAACACTGCAGCGAGGTTTACGCCAAACTCAGTCAATCTGATTCGCAGCTGGGTGCTCATCAAGGCAGCCACGATATCCTGGACTGCTACATCAACTCTCTGCTTCATCTTGTCTTCTTGCCTGATCTCAATCGATACCTAGATGGGGAAATTACACCTGACACACGAATATCTCGATCGAAGTGCGTTACTTTTGCAAAGGCTTCGTTGCGGAATTTTAACCTTTTGGCTGAGGATATGGAGTGTAAATCTTATGCTTGGTATATTCGAGGTGTTGGAAGTTACTAT